TGATTTTTGAATTTTGTCAAACTATATATATATATATATATATAAAGGATTTTTAGTTGATATATATATATATATATATATATATATGAATATTTATTTATGTACATTATATATAAATATATATATATTGTCATACAACTAAAAATCATTTATTTAAACGTTTCAGACTCTAAGAAAGTCTGCGGCTGTCGATATTACATTTTTGCGTTTACGTTTGACAAAATTCAAAAATCACATTTTTTTATTTTGAGGTTTAAAAATGAAAAAAATATATAATTGACAAATTTTTTTTGTTGCAGTTTTGCATTAAATATTTGCAAAATTTGAATTCTGCAACGAAGGTTTATTTTTGCTTGTTTTTATTGCAGAATTATTTGTGAAATCTTGTTTTCACACGAAGAAACAAACCCAAATCAGAACATAACTCACATTTAAATGCAAAAGTTCAGTTTGTAATTTCTTTTTCTTTTTAAAGATCATGAAAGTGAAAATATTTACGATAAAAAGCTTCTCAAACAAAACAGAAGCATCTTTCTGTTCAGCAATCTTTACATAAGCGACAGTCGCAGAGTTTCTTCTTCTGGACAGAAAACAGAAGTGAAAACTCTTCAGGTTTCATCAGAATCAGAGTTTATTACGTCAGCAGAAAGTTTAAAATCATCCGTCATTCAAACCGAGTCTTTAACGTCTTTTAAAGTCAACGACGCCGCTTCAATAATTTGTTGACCTTTTGTGAAAACCAGAAGAAAAGACGTATTTTTACGTCCTCTTCCTGCCCCGCCGCTGCTCAATACAAATCCCATAATGCACCTGTGTTTGGCTGCACATTGGCTCCTCGTTCAGCTCGTTAAGTCTGGTGACGGATAAAGGGGGGCGGAGCCTGGGACACAATGCCACAAACCAGAGAAGAAGAAGAAGAAATAATAACGTTGATGCTGAAGAACAGGCACGTTGGAATACTGTGTGTGTCTGTGTGTGTAGTGTGGTAACTTTCACTGTTGCACAACAGCAGAAAAACACTTTTTTTCCCAGTTATTTGTTTTGTCCCTTTCCTTTTTCCGGCATGGTCTACGGGAGGAAGTGTGTGTTCAGGTGCGTGTGTGTGTGTGTGTGTGTGTGTGTGTGTGTGTGTGTGTGTGTGTGAGGTCCCTCAGATGATCTCGAAGGTGTTCTTCAGCTCCATGATCAGCTGCCAGTCGGTTTTCTGCATCTCGTCTCTGAACCAGTTCTTCAGAGCGTCGATGGACGCCCGCGTGATCTGAAAAACACACAAAGAAACTCAGCACTTGCTGCTGGTGTTTCACAATAAAAGCCCGTCAAAGTGAAAACTATGATCAGTGATTAAGAGATCCGGATGTTATTTTATTATAATTATAATATATTAATTAAAAATGTTAAAATAAAAGTTTATAGAAATGATGGTAAATAAAACACACAACTTCATTAAAAAGACGTCTATAGTAACAATACTTGTATAATGCTCAACTCAACTAAACCCCTCCTCCTCCCTCCTCCTACTACTCCTCCTCCTCCTCCTCTTGTCTCCCTCCTCCTCCTCCTTCCTCCTCCTCCTCCTCCTCCTCGCCCTCACCTTGCTGACGATGATGTCGGTGCCTTCAAAATGGCGTCCGTACATCTTGGGGGACTCTCCTGGTATCGGTTCTATCTTGATGCAGATCTCTTGACCCTTCTTAGCACTCTCGACTGACTTGTGATTCATCTCGATGCTCGTCACGATGCCGATGTCCACGAACTATTAACGTTCATGAAGCAGGAACACAAGGAGTTAGTCTAAACAAATACACACCTTTATTTTGAAAGGGGGGGGGGGGGGGGGGAGACGAGGAGGACAAAGAAGAGTGAGGAGGAGTGGGGAGGAACGAGGAAGAGGAGTTAGAGCGGGGGTCTTACCCCTTTACTGGGGACACAGAGGGGGGTCCCCTGCCTCAGGACTCCGGCCTCGATAGTGACCCCGATCACGATCGGGTCTCTGGAGTTAAAGATGAACTGAGGAAGAACCTTCAGCTTCGCCGGGAAAACCGCAATATTCCTAAAAAACACGTTAAAAACTTCATAATTCATCTCCCGCAGTACTTAAACACAGAGTATACAGAGTAGAGTGCGTACTTGAACTCGTCCTGCTTGGCCTTCTTGTAGTCCTCTCTGAACTTGGTGAAGGAGTCAAACAGATGGTAGATGATCTCGGCCGAGAAGATCCGGACTCCCAGAGTGTCGGCCATCTCCTGACTCTCCCTCTCCACCTTCACGTCGAAGGCCAGGATCACTGCGTACCTGCACACGCACACGCATATTTTAAATATAAATACACACATATATACATGTATGTATATATATATTGAGTGACGTACTGCAGGTCGTGCTCCAGCATCGCGGACGCCTTCATCACGTCCTTCTTGTGAACCGGACCGATGTTGATGCCGGCGTACTGCAGACACACACACAGAGGTCAACTTCCTGCTGCTTTTCAGAGTAAAATACCCCGATCACACACACGGTGAGGGGGATTTAGAGTTAGGAGACAGACAGACAGACAGACAGACAGGTACTCACAGGGACCTTAGAGGTCCTCAAGAACTCCAGCAGAGCCTCCAGAGAGCCGAGTGTTGATGCCTGAACATAAACTCCTTTCTCCTCCAGTTTGATGCAGCTCAGAGTCTGTTTGAGCTCACGGATCAGTTCATCCTGGAACCCGCAGACAGACAGTCAGACAGACAGACACACTGGGAGACTCACACACTACTGTAGGTGTGTGTGTAGGTGTGTGTTACCCTCAGCACTGGGATCTCGTCCTCCTTGTGAGCCACCAGCAGAGGGAGTCCTGCTAGAGTCTTCTCCAGGTCTTTACCCAGAATCTTCACTCCCTGAGCCGTACACACCTCCTTGTGCTTCTCATACTGGTTCTGAACCAATCAACACATCACATGATCAATTAACCAATCAACACATCACAGGATCAATTAACCAATCAACACATCACAGGATCAATTAACCAATCAACACATCACAGGATCAATTAACCAAACAACACATCACAGGATCAATTAACCAATCAATCAATTAACCAATCAATCAATGAACCAATCAATACATCACAGGATCAATCAATGAACCAATCAATACATCACAGGATCAATTAACCAACCAATACATCACAGGATCAATTAACCAACCAATACATCACAGGATCAATTAACCAACCAATCAATTAACCAATAAACCAATTAACAAATGAATTAACCAATCAATTAGTCAACCAATCACAGGATCACACATACTTTAGGACACACAGGAGAAAGAACAAGAGGAGGAGGAAGAAGGAGGAAGAGTCCAACCCAGAATCCCAGACCTCTATTTTGAAGCTCACCTTGACTCTGAGCTCCTTCAGAGGGGGGGGCAGCAGCAGCCCCCGTATCTGCGTTACGATTGGTCCCTCCACCCCCGGAACGATAATGGTCTCTCCCTCCCTCAGGACCCCGTTGATCAGGATCACATCTATCGTGGTCCCCATACCGGGAAGAGCTTTCACCTGAACACATGGACTTCATCATGAGACACTCAGTGGAGACAGTAGACAGACAGGTAGACAGTAGACAGACAGACAGACAGACACCCTGTCTCACCTCCATGATCTGGGCCCTCAGCTCGTCACACTGAGCTAGCCTACGAGCTAACATGGTCTGGGTGAGCTCCACCAGCAGTGCGATGAGGTTCCCCATCCCGTCTCCGCTGTGGGCCGAGGTGGGAACCAGAGACACGAAGGTCCGCGGGTCTTTGTTCTCGAAGAACAAGGCGGCGTTGAGACCCTGAGAAGAACCCCAAAAAGCTGTAAAAAAACCTTGTTATCGTAGGATTTACATCTTTCCCACGGTCCTTGAACACATCGTGTATTTCATCTGAAACATTTTATATACTTGATTTGAACGTCTATGAACCAATCAGATTGCTTGACATATAATACATGAACATGTGAAAAGGAGCTCTGTGATTGGTGGATTGAGTGATGACGTCACACCTGCTGAGCGAACTCCACGATCACAGCCTTCACTCTCTCGTCAAACTCGTCCTTCGTGTTCTTCTTCTGCTTCTTCAGCGTCGTCACAACGTCCGTCTCTGGACTCCTCTTCCAGTCATAGAGACGGTCAACCTGAGGAGGAGCAGCACCGTGAGGAGGAGGAGGAACACCGTGAGGAAGAAGAGGAGGAAGAGGAGGTGACCCACCTTGTTGAGGGCCACAATGAAGGGACACTTCTTCTCCTTCAGCAGGTTGATGGACTCCAGCGTCTGAGGCTCCAGACCGTGCATGATGTCCACCACCAGGATGGCGATGTCACACAGAGAGCTGCCTCTGTTCCTCAGGTTACTGAGAGAGGAACATCACACCCTGGTTCAGAACCTGGTTCACTTTATACTATGAGTACCTTAACAGTGCGGTATTAGTACCTGAAGGACTTGTGTCCCGGTGTGTCGATGATCAGCATCCCGGGGATCCGGAGGTTTTCTTTTTCAAACTGAACCAACGACATTCAGATCAATACGTTAATAATGTGATCACAGAGTGACATCATCGCTACGTTATAGTCAGTGACATCATCGCTACGTTATAGTCAGTGACATCATCGCTACGTTATAGTCAGTGACATCATCGATACGTTATAGTCAGTGACATCATCGATACGTTATAGTCAGTGACATCATCGATACGTACGTTCTTCACCATCCTCGTCTGCTCCTCGATCGTCTCCTTGGGGACGTTGGTGGCTCCTATCTGCTGAGTGATTCCTCCGGCCTCTCCGTCCTGAACGTTAGTGTTTCTCAGCTACACACGCGCACACACACACACACACACGCACACAGGGTTACCACAGTGACCACCACAAACAAGAAGTAAACGGGAAGTAAACAGGAAGTAAACAGGAAGTGGGTGCTCACCTTGTCCAGGATCTTGGTCTTCCCCGTGTCCACATGTCCCAGCACACACACCACAGGAGACCTCAGCGTGTCCAGGTCGATGTTCTTCATGTTGTCTGCTCTCCTTTTCTATGGAAACACACAGGAAGAGGAGGAGTCAGAGATGGAGTCTCACCGGCCCCGTCCTCCTCCTCCTCCTCCTCCTCTTCCTCTCACCTCGATCCTCCTCTTGGCTCGGTCGTACAGACGCTCGTCCTTCGTCCTCCCGTCGTCGTCCTCACTTGAGCTATTGTCGTCCGCGCTGTCCTTCGCCCTCCTCTTCCCGTGGCTCGTCGTCTCCTTCGTCGCCTCCTTCTCCTCCTCACTCTCCTCCTCACTCTCCTCCTCGTCGTCTTCCTCCTCATCGTCCTCCTCGTCGTCCTCCTCCTCCTCCTCATTGCTACCCGTATGCTGAGGAGGAGCGCCGGCGTCCTCCTTCACCTCGATGTGGACTTTCTTCAACTCTGAGACAAGAGAGTATTAGTACTTATAGTACGACTACTGCAGTACTGGTGGTATTTCATACTTCATTGAATACTTCGTGCTCCTCCTCCTCACCTTTCTCCTCATCGGTGGCGATGGCCTCCCAGTCGTCTACCGCCGGCTCTGGTTTCACCTCTGACCACAGAAGAAGAGATGAGGACAGATGGACAGGGAGAGAGGACAGACGGACAAAGAGGAGGAAAGGAGACAAGGAGGACAGATGGACAAAAAGGAGGAAAGGAGACAATGAGACAACAAGGACAGACGGAGAGGGACAAGGAAGGTGGAGAGAAAGGAGGACAGACGGACAGAGAGAGAG